ACCAGTTAAAGGCTTAAGGTAAAATAATTGCTGCTGTTATCCTTTATTGAATTAGATTATTATTTTACTTACTCATTCAAATCTCTCAGCAATTGTCAAGAATGTATTCAGGAATTTGTGATAAAAGGATTCAGGTCCAAAATCTTACCCCTTTGTGTAAGTTTTCTTTAATCAAATGTGCTGGTGGATGTTTAAGCTGAGGTTTCTCGTGACATTTTTATGAATGGCTCCTCTTTAACGAGTTAATGTAATCAGGGGGATGTTGATGTTATTTGTGGTGGCCCTCCATGCCAAGGGATAAGCGGCTATAATCGCTATAGAAATGTTGATTCTCCACTGGATGATGAAAGAAATCGTCAAATAGTGGTCTTCATGGACATAGTGGAATACCTAAAACCTAAGTTTGTTTTAATGGAAAACGTGGTTGATATTCTGAGATTTGACAAGGCTTCTCTTGGAAGATATGCTTTAAGTCGGTTGGTACATATGAAATATCAAGCACGGCTTGGAATAATTGCAGCTGGTTGTTATGGTCTTCCTCAATTTCGATTGCGTGTTTTTTTGTGGGGTGCACATCCTAGTGAGGTTAGTTTTCTAATTTGTATGCATAAAATCGAAATTCAGCACTCCTCGACTGTCACTGATTGTGATGTAGTGCTATCACCATGTGAATTTGATGATTTTGGTCTTGCTGGGGGCCTAATTGCACGTGGTTTACTCTTTCCATTTTTTTTTTGTTTGGGGGGTGGGTGTTGTAATTGGTGTCTGCAGATGCTTCCACCGTTTCCACTACCTACTCATGATGTTATTATCAGATATTGGCCTCCTCCCGAGTTTGAGGTTGGTATTTTCTTTTTCTCTTCTCTCCTTAGAATGCTTTAACCGGCGGTGTTCCATCCTGATAATTCTGTTTATCTTACTTGTGCAGCGCAATACAGTTGCTTATTCTGAAGGCCAACCCCGTCAACTAGAAGACGCTCTTCTTCTCCGTGATGCCATTTCTGATCTCCCACCTGTAGTTATCATATATTTGTTTTACTGATTCATCCTCCTCCGAATCAGCTGTATCCTGCTCTTTTTAATTAGTTAACTGCTTTTCAGGTTGCAAACGATGAAGTTCGCGAAGAAATGAAATATGAAAAGCCTCCTGAAACTGACTTTCAAAGATATATACGATCAAGCAAATATGGTAAATTTTTTGTGGTGGATCCACAACTTCTATTTTATTCTGTTAGTTACTATTTTATTGATGGTGCTTACCCTGAAATTTTATTTTTGCCCATCCCATTCAAAAAATTTATGTTGTTAACATATGTGTGTCCACCAGCAAAATTATTTACGAATCTACCACTGGTCACAGAAGAGAGAGAGCATAGCATAGGCCCTTTGTATTTTTTTCCTCTAATTTTGTCTTCCATTTACATTTTATCCTTTTTCCTGCCTTTGCAGCGATGACTGGTTCTGCATTGGATATTGCCACAAGAACAAAGGACTGTCTGTATGACCATCGGCCTATTGAGTTATTTGAGGATGATTATACTAGAGTTTCTCTGATTCCAAAGAGAAAGGTTTTATAACTCCAATCGACATTGCCACCATTTGCCCTTCTGATATTTTTCTAATTTAGAAGTAATTATGTAGGGGGCAAATTTTCGAGACCTCCTGGTTTAATTGTTGGAGCAGACAATGTGGTTCGAAGGGATCCAACACAGGAAAAGCAGCTTTTACCATCTGGAAAACCATTGGTGAGTTTCTTCTTTTCCCACGAGAGCAACATTACACCCTCTTCTTATATCAGTGCATACTTGTTTGAGTTTGTGCCTTAATGGCTGTGCACTTGAGTGAAGCTGAAAACTGCTGCATACTGTGACTGCATCGTAACATTGAGGCATTTTCGTTTTTCATCTTTCATTATCTCTTTAATCGGAATGCACTGAAATGAATCTAGTGCAGAAAGGAAAACAATGACAATGCATTTTCTCTACACTGAAATTAATTGCTGATGTTAGTTCTCTTTCAATTTTAGGTACCTGAATACGTCTTTACCTATGAACAAGGAAAAGCTAAAAGGTTAGAATTTTTTTTTCAGCAGCCTTTCTGATTTCAACCACCTCCTCATCCTCTATGATAAAAAGAGGTAAAAATAAGGGAACTAATGGTATCAATATGAGCAGACCATTTGCAAGATTATGGTGGGATGAGACTGTGCCAACTCTTTTAACTTATCCTTACTGTCACAGCCAGGTTTGATTCTGCACTAGTTTTTTTTTTTTTTGGAAAATTACACATTTACTAGTCCTTTGGATTTGCTTGTGAGTTTTTGGACTTGTATAGGCAATATTACATCCGGAGCAAGACGGGTTCTCACAATCCGGGAATATGGAAGATTACAAGGTTTTCCTGATTATTATAAATTCTGCGGGACAATTAAAGAGAGGTATGATACTTTTGTTCTAAATATTATTTGTAGGTGCTGAAATCTGAATAGATTAGCTGTAATGATCTCCTTTTAAGAATCGGTAGATTATATAGTCACACAACTATCACTTTGGTTCTTTTTGGTCACTCAACTATTTATTTTTTAAAAATCATCACTAACATTATGTTCTGGTTTCATTTTGGTCACTCACCGTTACAAAATTAACAAGATATTTTTTCCAAAGATGACATGGCATTACCTTTTGGTGACACATGAGCATCACCGTTAATTTTTTAAGGGTGAGTGACCAAAATGAAATCAAAACGTAACGTTAGTGATGATTTGGAAAACAAATTGTTGGGTGACCAAAACAGAACTAAAGTGGTAGTTGAGTGACTAAATACATAGTTTACCCTTTAAGTCTATATCATCTGCATGTCCCTAAGCCTTATTGAACAGAGAAAAGATGTGCAGTGTATTTCCTTGATCTAGCATCCTAATTTTGCATGTTAGTGCTGTTCTCGGGGATTTGTGCTTTTTCGCTTGTCTTTAGATTTAGAGCAAATCACATAGCTTTGATATCTTTCTGGTTTCTGCATATTGAAAAATGCAGTCGCTCATTGTGTCGGAATATGACACATAAAAGCAATGAAATTACCTACATTGTGATTAAGCAAGTTGAGGGAATGCAATCTTATTTCTCTCTTTGTTTCTGAATTTTATAGGTACTGTCAAATTGGGAATGCAGTTGCCGTTCCGGTTGCTCGAGCATTGGGATATACAATGGGGATGGCGTTTCAGAAACTGAGCGGAAACGAAGCATTGATGATACTCCCTCCTAAGTTTTCCCTTTCCACCAATATGCAGTTAGCAAAATCATTGTCCCAGAAAAGTGATGAATGCGTCGAGTTGAACTAAATTAAAATCTTAAAATTTATGTGCATGTATCTCATCACATAAAACCATGCCAAATTGGGAAACAAAATCCCCCTTCCATTCGTTATTTGTATCTCTGACCTAAAATTATTGTCAAATTGGGAAACCCCTGGCATTAGTTATTTGTATTTCTGACATAAAATTGTCTTGCAGGCTCATATGCTTGCTTCTCAAACGTATTTAAGTGGGTTCATTAAACGGAGATTAGAGGGTATTTAAACATGCAATTTGGTTGCTTAAATATGTTGCTGTGTTGTTCATGGTGGCTTGGCTTGTTTTGTGATGCTTGTTAATGAAAAAAAGGTGCACATTTATGTGTGAAAGTAGTCTTTGTAGTAAATGAATTATTGTTAATTTTTAAGGTTTCATTCAAATACCATGAGGATGCGTTTGGTTCACGGAATGTAAGATTACCAGTGGGAATAAAAAAATTACTAGGGAATAAGATTACTGGAAATGTTGTATTTTGAGTTTGGTTGGTTTAGCAGGAATATAAGATTATTGTGTTTGGTTAAAGGAATAAAAGATTATTGGAATGTATATTTGACCAAATTATATTTATTATATATTTGTAATATTACAAAAAATTAAATTCATAATATTAAAATAAAAAATAAAAAATATAAAAAAAGGTTTAATGAAAGGGTAAATTTTTTTTAATCCCTGAACTTCATATAAAATTTTAATTATAGATTTTTTTTTGTAAATCTAAAATAATTTAAGGATAAATTTGTAATTTAACCTTCGTAGAATTTTTATTATTCAATGACAGAAAAATGATATTTTTGAAAAAAAAAAAATTAAGGGCATTTTAGTCCAAAACGCTGATAATGTTATAATACCTAAAGGAAGGGAGGTAATGACATTCCCGATAATATACTCCAAAAAATCTACTATTGATAATAAAACATTACCGGGAATGAGATTCACGGCCAACCAAACATGGGAATGTGGGATTCTCATGGGAATCCCACAATCCTTGAACCAAACACCCCCTGAATGTAGGATGAGAGCCCTTAATATTATAGAGTACGATTGATTATATTAATTGTATATTAAAATAAAAATGTTATATTATATTTATTTTAAAAATTGTTAATATATATATAAATATTTTATAATTCAATAATATTATTTTATGGAATTAATAAATAAAATTAATTTATTAATAATATTAAAAATAATAATATAATATCTTTTATTATTATAATATAATTAAATATATAATAATAATATATTATTATATTATTAAAATTATTAATCAATATATTTTTATTAAAATAGTGTCAAACTAATATATTAATATTAAATATATAAAATAATATTATTTTGAGTATTTATGCTTTGAAATAGAGAGTTAAAATAATGATTTATTACAAAAAAAAAATTAAATTGTATATCATTGTTCAAAAAATACGAAAAGATCATGTTGATCAAGAAATTGAATTAGATTAATTATTTATTTTTCATTCAAATATTAAAAAATAAAAAAAATGTTTTTAAAAAATCAATTACAATGAATGAATAGGCTTTAAATGTTAGTCCCAAATACTAAATTTATTGAACTTTATTAATTTAGTCGAGAGAATAACACGTCATTTAATGGTTCACAGTTGGTCTTGAGAGAATAAGCATTTCCCCATTTGGGCGGGAATTTCAAGTTCAAGAATTCAGATCTTGGTCTTTTTCCTTAGTCACAATTGGGGAGCAGCCAGTGCCTCTAGATATTTTCCTCCCAAAAGAATGGCTGCCGGCGCCGATGATAACAAGCTCCTACCGAGAAGATCATCCCCTAGGCTCCTTCAGCTCTCACCAGCTCCTAATGTGTCGTCGAGGAAATCCGATGGAAAAACGGTGCGTGGGAACTGCCTGAGAAGGTCCCCGAGAATTAAAGTGTTGGTCGTGCCGGAGAGCGAAGATGTGCGGCCCGTTGCGAGTTCAGAGACCGAAGGTTTTAGAAAGAAAATTAGGGGAAATGGTTCGAGTGATAAATCTTTCAGAGAACAGAGAAAGGAGATGTCTACCGAAAAGCATTTGAAAATACCTTCCTCGGGTACTAAATCATTGGCAGGAGATGATAGTGCTGAAGTGAACTCTTATTCCATTGGATTATCCAATTCATGTGATGAACAGCCTTCCAAGAAATTTAAGATCTCATCAGCAGAATCAGACGTGGGAACCTTAGATGAAAAGTTCTCAAAGAAAAACGTTTCGTTTCTTTCAGGAAATAAGAAGGGACACAACACTGATCCCATATTTATAGGCAACCCAATCCCTGATGACGAAGCTCAACAAAGGTGGCGGTGGCGTTATGAATTGAAGGTGATTGTTATGAACTAAATTTGCAAATGCTGTTTTCTAAATTCATGGGGATTGGAACACTGACCATAAACTTCCGCTTTACTGTGCCTATCTGTTTTCTTTCTCTCCATTTTTTATCTGTTGTTTCCAATGTCGCTTGATATCCCTTTTATTTTGCTGTTTTTGCAACCAATGTTCATGTCTTGAGAGTTGGATATTTTGGCATGTTTAACTAAATTTGGCTTTGCTTAAACACCATAAGGTCTTTTAGTGTTAATCATTGATGGGATATTTAGATTGCTGCTTTAGTGCTCGTAAGCAGTTAGTTTCAGAGAATGGTTCGGGGGTGAGCGGGAAATAATAGTAAATTGAGCCCACTTCGCATTTTAGTTTTTCAAGGCTGATTGGAAATATCTTGTACCCTGCAGAATAAAAAATCTAACAGGAAACGCGTTTCATTGAAGTAAGCAACCTTCTATGAGCTTTCTCAGTTTAGTTTTCCAATTTAGCATTGTTCTTAAATTTATTATCCCTGTTCCTATTGTGATAGCGATGATGATGATGAAGACAATATAGTTTGGAATGTGGAGTGTCATTACGCTCAAGCTGAAATTGATGGATGTACTATAATGTAGGAGATTGTGTTTATATTAAGGTAAATGCAATCAACCCATGGTGTGATTTAAAATTTGTGTATATAGCTTTAGCTTCTCTTAATTCATGTTAAGCAAATCCAGTTTATTTGGTCTCTCTTCTAATCCTTTTTCGCTTGTCTGCCTATGGGCTATGGCCCTTCTAAATTTCAATAACCTGGCAATTAAAGCAATCAAATTCTCATGGGACAACGAATTTTTGCAGGGTGAAGAAGCAAAACATCACATTGGCAGGATATTAGAATTTTTTAAAACAACAGATGGAGAAAATTATTTTAGAGTCCAGTGGTTTTATAGAGCTGAAGATACAGTAAGTACAGAGATTTAGATATATTTTAGATCATGCAGTATTGTTATCCTGACCCTTGATGCTTCTGTTTTGTGTTTGACGCAAAGGTTATGAAACAAGACTGCTTTTCATGACGAAAGACGTCTATTTTATTCGACTGTAATGAATGACAATCCCTTAGATTGCATTATTTCAAAAGTTAGTGTTACACTAATATCACCTAAGGTATGCTTCTTGTGTTCTAAAATCACTTGACCTTTTTTTTACTATTTCAACTGTTTATGAATAGCTTTTAGAAATTTTCTTTAACAATTTCTATTTCATTTGATCATTCTCACAACTATGTGGTTGGGAATTTTGGATTTATTTATTTTTGTTCTTCTATAACTTGTTGCAGATAGATTTTAAATCTAATTCTCTTTCCCAATCCGATTTCTATTTTGACATGGAATATTGTGTGGATTATTCAACATTCCGCACCTTGCCAACTGGTAAGCTTCTTGTTTTGCATGTAATGGAGTTTAACTGCTGTATTAATTCTATTTGTTCCCTGAGAGAGGTGAGGGATGGTGACCCTGGAATCATAACCTGGTAAGTAAACGGGGTGATAAATGATTATCATAGTGCTAATATATCTGCCTTTATACATATATATTCAGATGATTCTTTCAAGAGCTTCAGTTCCTCAAACTGCTACAAGGAAGTTTTCCCTACAAGTCCTTCCTTTTCGGCAAATATTCCTAGTTTTGGAACTTACAAGGCAGAACTCACATTACTAGATCTTTACTCTGGCTGTGGTGGAATGTCAACTGGTTTATGCCTCGGTGCAAAAGCATCTTGCATTGATCTAGTGACGGTACTTTCATCCAATCAATGATAAACTATTATTTCGTGATTCATTCAATAATAAAATTATCATACTATGTTACATGTATCTTACATTTTGTATTGTAGAAATGGTCAGTTGACAGTGACAAGTCAGCATGTGAAAGCTTGAAATTAAATCATCCAGGGACACATGTGAGTATTGCTACCTTATATTTTACAACTTACATTTGGCATGCCCCAAAACCTTTAAGAGGTATAATACTATTTATTATTATTATTTTTCATTTATATAGGTTAGGAATGAAGCTGCTGATGATTTTCTTCAACTACTAAAGGAATGGGAAAAGCTTTGCAAACTGTATGTAGTTGAAAATGTAGAAAAAACATATCCATCAAGATCTGAAACCTCCAAAGCAGTCGGGAATAATGCCAGTCCTGCAAAAGATGATGATACTTCTGATGAACTTGAAAATGATGATACTTCTGATGAACTTGAAAATGATGATACTTCTGATGAATTCGAAGATGATGATGATGAAACCTATGGTGAGGTTGAAGATAGCATTACTGATACTTCTGTTGAACTCGAAGTTTCCAGTCTTGTGATATTTGTTATGGCGATCCCTGCAACACAGGCAACCATGGCCTAAAGTTTAAGGTGGTCTATTTCATCTATACGATGTGATGGTAGCTCCTTTCGTGCCTTGAGTGATTTTTTGTTTGTAATATAGTTGATCTTTTTTGTGTCAATCTATTCTACTGTTATTCATAGTCATTTTTTGTTTTATGTCATAGTTTGGTGAAGATGGCTTATGATATAGCTCTTTGTTAGGTCCGCTGGAAGGGTTATGGTGAAAGTGATGATACCTGGGAACCAATTGAAGGCTTAAGGTAAAAATAATTGCTGCATTATTCCTTTATTGAATTAGGTTATTATTTACTTATTCAAATCTCTCAGCAATTGTCAAGAATGTATTCAGGAATTTGTGATAAAAGGATTCAAGTCCAAACTCTTACCCCTTTGTGTAAGTTTTCTTTCATCAAATGTGTTGGTGGGTGTTTAAGCTGAGGTTTCTTGGGATATTTTCTTATCAATGGCTCCTCTTTAATGAGATAATGTAATCAGGGAGATGTTGATGTTATTTGTGGTGGCCCTCCATGCCAAGGGATAAGCGGCTATAATCGCCATAGAAATGTTCTCCACTGGACGATGAAAGAAACCGTCAAATTGTGGTATTCATGGACATAGTGGAATACTTGAAACCTAGGTTTGTTTTAATGGAAAATGTGGTTGATATTCTGAGATTTGACAAGGGTTCTCTTGGAAGATATGCTTTAAGTCGGTTGGTACATATGAAATACCAAGCAAGGCTTGGAATAATTGCTGCTGGTTGTTATGGTCTTCCTCAATTTCGGTTGCGTGTTTTTTGTGGGGTGCACATCCTAGTGAGGTTAATTTTCCAGTTCTTTGCATAAAATTATGTTACTCTCTCTAACCTTGAAGTACTGGTATCAACTTTAGTCTCTAATTCTGGGTATTGTGTGTTGTGTGGTAATTTGATGTCTACAGAAGCTTCCACAATTTCCACTTCCTACTCATGATGTTATTCTCAGATATGGTGCTCCTCCAGAGTTTGAGGTTACTATTTCGTTTCTTTTTCTTCTTCTTCCTTCGAATGCTTTAACCAGAAATGTTCCATCCGTATAATTCTATTTGCCTCACTTGTGCAGCGCAATACAGTTGCTTATGTTGAAGGCCAACCCCGTCAACTAGAAGACGCTCTTGTTCTCCGCGATGCCATATCTGATCTCCCACCTGTAGTTATCATATTTTATTATACTGATTTAACCACTTGATTCAGCAGTGCTCTGTTTTCTTTAATTAGTTTACTGCTTTGCAGGTTGCAAATGATGAAGCCCGCGAAAAAATGACATATGAAAAGCCTTCTGAAACCGACTTTCAAAGATATATAAGATCAAGTAAATATGGTATTTTTTTCTTTCTTTTTTTCTTTTTAAATTAACCTGTGAATCATTTCAGATTTCGACAACTAATTGGTGTTCTAAAACCGGCTTCTCTTTTTTTTCCGTCTATATATCTTAGTATTTAGTGTCAGTTTTCTAACGTAAAAAAAAAACTGTCATGTATAGGGTTCTTAAATGATTTATGCCTTGTAATACCCCTCCTATGGAAGTTCCAGATCTATAAATGTATTTTTTTTTGTTCAAAGTGAAAAATGTCTTTGGATGGATTCTTTTTAGGGTTCAGGGTGTATGAAACCCTCCAACTTAAAAAAATCAATTAAGTTTTTGAATATTTTTGCACTTAATTAAACTCTAGAATTAGAAAATTGAATCAATTGAACTGAAAAGTTGAAGTCTCAACGTTTTTCTTCTTGTCTGATATATTATTGTCACAAGACATTTGCAAAATTTTTAAGAAAAAATCTAAAACAATTATTAAAATTCTAAAAAGTAAAAGGTAAAGTAAAAAAACGATCCTCTGAATATAGGTTAAACTTTTGTTAAGTCTTCCGACTATTAAAAGTTATAAAATGATCTCCCAACTATATGTCATTCTTTTGTTAAGTCCCCTAACTATTAAAAGTTATATAATAATCACCCGATTATTTATATATTTCAAATGTGTCCTTTTTAAAAAAAAAAATTGATTGTAGTTTGAGTTGGACGTGAATCTGTTGACTGGGATATGATAAAATATGATCCCAAAATTTCAAAAGACTATCATATCCCAATTAGTATGTTAATAATCAGTTTAGACTACAATCAATTTTTTAATGTAAAAAGACAAGTTTGAAACATATGAATAGTCGGGAGACTATTTTGTAACTTTTAATAGTCGAGGTACTTAACAAAATAACATCTTATAGTTGAGAGACTATTTTGTTATTTTTAATAGTCGGGATTCAACAAAGTAACACCTTATAATTGGGGACCATTTGTGTACCTTACCCAAAAATAAATAAAGTTTTGGGAATACCACACGGAAATAACGTGACACAAGTACTTAGTTGTTCCCTTTTATTTGGTCTGGGGAGATGTAAACTCCCGTCAACTTTTAGGCAAAGTAGTCCAATGTTGTACGATCAACAACTGCTGGTCAGTAAGTTTGCCGTCTCTGCTTGTTAAAGTTAAAAATAGCAGTTCAATTTTCGGTTGTGAAACAATGACCGTCAGTGGGCATTGAGTTGGTCAGCATATCAAATGCCGATTGAAGTAAGCATGGCCGTAGGGTTGAGCATATCTAGTAAACCAGCACTACTTCTGTTTAAAATGTTGCTCCTGTTTTTCCTCTGGGTGAACCTAAGAATATTAGTCACATCGGCTATTTGTTGTATGAGTTTCAAAGAAGAGAGGGAGCATAGAGCCAAGCATAGACCCTTTGTATTGTTTCCTCTAATTTTGTCTTATTTGTATTTCCCACTTTTTCCTGGCTTTGCAGAGATGACCGGTTCTGCATTAGATGGTGCTACAAGAATAATGAACCTGTTGTATGACCATCGGCCTTATCCGCTATCTGAGGATGATTATATTAGAGTCTGTCTTATTCCACAGAGAAAGGTTTTGATTTCCAATTGACATTGCCACTTTTGTCCTCTCTCGTATTTTTTCCTTCTAATTTTGGAAGTGTTTTAGGGGGCAATTTTCGAGACTCCCTGGTGTAATAGTTGGAACTGACAATGTGGCCCAGAGGGATCCAACTCAGGAAAAGCAGCTTTTACCATCGGGTAGACCATTGGTGAGTTTCTTATTTTTCCACCAGAAGAAAAGTGCTTGCACTTCTTATTTGTGTACGGGATATTCCTATGTAATTGCATGCTTGTTTGTGTTTGTGCCTGGATGGCATGTTTATCTTTGTTCTTTGTTAGCATCTCAACATGTGAGGATCTTTCTTTAACGGCGTTTCTTTTTCCTCTTTCATTTTCCTTTGAAACTTGATGAAACAACAGTTGTTTTCAGGTTATATCTCTTGAATAAGGAGGCACTGAAATGATTGTAGTGCAGAAAGGGAATGAAACGAGAATGCATTTTGTCTATACTGTGAGATGCCATGTCTAAATGGAAAAATTGAATAATTGATTGCTGATGTTAATTCTCTTTCATTTGTTTAGGTACCAGATTATGTCCTTACCTATAAACAAGGGAAGTCTAAAAGGTGAGTTTTTTGGCAGCCTTTCTGATTTCAACAGCTTCCTCTTCCTCCAAAATTAAAAAGAGGAAAAAAAAGAATGAACTAATCTTATCAACATATGTGCAGACCATTTGCAAGATTATGGTGGGATGAGACCGTGCCGACTGTTATAACTTCTTTTTACTGTCACAGCCAGGTTTTACTTTGCACTAGTTTGTGGTTAGATTCAACATTCACCAGTTCTTTGGATTTGTTTCTGAGTTTTGGATTTGTGTAGGCAACATTACATCCGGAGCAAGATCGGGTTCTCACAGTCCGGGAATGGGCAAGACTGCAAGGTTTTCCTGATTATTATAGATTCTGTGGGACAATTAGAGAGAGGTATGACTTATAAAAGCAAGTAACTTGCAAACCTTAAGCCAGTTTTACATTTTTTTTATTAATTTAGGATAAATACAAGGTAGTATCCGTTCTTATTCTCAATCATTTGACATAGAACGCTCACATCCTTAATATTTTTAATATTTGTATGTGTACCCGAAACTTCAAAGAATAATAATAATTTTTTTACCATTGAGATCGCTTGTTTTGTGCTTTACATATACAAATTTTTGGGTTTGTTTGTAGGTATTGTCAAATTGGGAATGCAGTTGCTGTTCCAGTTGCTCGAGCATTGGGATATACAATGGGTATGGCATTTCAGAAACTTAGCGGGAATGAACCATTGATGATCCTCCCTCCTAAGTTCCCTCTTTCCACCAATACCCAGCTAGCAAAATCATTTTCCCAAACTACTGATGATTGAATTGAATTGGAGTCTTACTTTATATGCATGCATTGCACCCCTTCCATTCATTATTAGTATCTCTTGCATAAAATCATTTCTAATGATCATATCATGGTTATAAATTATTTCTGATCTTTATGCAAGTGTAATACCTTTATGTGATTGAGCCTACGTGTCTAATAATTCTAATTTAGAAGTGACCTCTCTATATATTGTCTTTCTATTAAGTAGAGAGGTATTACATTTTAAAACAGATGTCGGGATTCAACTCTGCACAATGTAGGATAAGTATTTTGTTAAGTGTAATATTTTTATTCGTATCTTTGACATAAAATTATTTCTGATATCATATCATGACCTAACATAAATTATTTCTAATTTCTTGTAAGTGTAATATTTTTATGTGATCGAGTTTACACGTCCAATAATCCTAATCTAGAATTGACCTCTTTATATATTGTTTTTTATTAAATAAAGATATTATATTTCAAGTTAAATATCGGAATTTAAATTTGCACAAGATAAAATAAAATGAGTATTTTTGGTTACTCGGTTAATTAAATGATTTGGCTCAAAAACTAGTTTTCTCTCCACGTTATTATAAGGTGTTGTTTCTTTAAAGTTTGATGGAAACAGTTAAAAAAAATAAATTTAATCCTACTTTGATAACTTATCTTCACATTTAAAAGTTGAACGATATTATCACATAATAGAAAAATGAAATGAAGTTTTGAGGTTTATTTAAAAATAATTTAAGTTTTTTCTTAAAAATTATATTTTTATTTTAAATAAAAAGTTTTAAAATTACCAAAACGCGACAAGTGTTACGTAGCAGGGTTTTTAACGATAATTAATGTCCGGACACCTAAAATGGTAACAGAGAAAATATTTTTTAAGATATAATTTGAATACTTATTTTTGTATTAAGCCTAATAGGAAAAGGAAGGCTTTCTAAAGAAAATAAAATGACTAACCACATATTTTAACTAACGTTTTAACTAAATTCACATTTTATTTAAAGTTGAGGTCAGAATTAAAAATTATTTATTTTTATTAGCATTTTTTTTAACATGAGAATTAACGGTTCAGTGATCATAATATAACAAATCGATAATGTGAACAAAATATTACCTTTGAAACTTAAGTGATCAATGTAAGAAGAAACTCAAACAAAGTGACCTTCACGATAGTTTACCTAATAATTTTATAAAATTCACTGGGTAGAATTTGGTATCTGCATTTCCTTGGAAAAGAAATTGCTACATAAACGCCTCGAATTCAAAGTTAAAATCTTACTAGGGTTTTAGCATCTATCTTACTTCCCATTTTGTGCAGAGCTTTCGAGACGAAAAATGATGGCAGCTAGATTCTTGATTTCGAGGAATGCATCTAAACCCTCAGTCAAATTCTTCTACCATGTCTCCTTCAGTCTCACTTCCTCACCTCCATCACTCTGAAATCTCTTCCTCTAAATTCAAGAGGCTTTTCCTCGGAACCTCCCGCCTTTGCCTCCGATAACCGTGTCCCCGCTACCGTCATCACCGGTTTTCTCGGTTCTGGAAAGGTCTCTAATCTATTTTACAACTGATTGCTTAGCTTCATTTCCAGTTTCTATTTTTTCTTCTTTTTAATGATGTTATTTTTTCCTGATTTCAGACTACTCTCTTAAATCATATTTTAACTGCTCAACATGGCAAAAGAATCGCTGTTATCGAAAATGAGGTACTCGGGAGCTATTATTTTAGATTTGCATGCTGCTAGGTTATGTTTCATTTTTTTCGGTTGAATTTTGTAGAATTCGTTGTTGAGGAGTTTTTCTTTTTCAATATGCATCTGTCCTGAGAAAAGGAAATAAAGAGGAGAGAGGAGAATCATTGCTGCTGATTTTGTGAAGGCAATTTCAGTCATGAATTTGATTAATTGTAATGCAGTTTGGTGAAGTTGATATGATGGATCATTGGTTGCTAGTCATTCCTCTGCATCTGAAGAAGACATTGTCATGGTCAACAATGGTTGCATTTGTTGTACGGTGCGGGGAGATCTAGTTAAAATGCTATTGGAGCTGGTTCAGAAGAAAAAAGACAAATTTGACCATATTGTTATAGAAACTACAGGTAACACCAGCCGCGGGTTCTTAGTTAGGTTTTACAAGGTCGAGTTACTTAGTTTTTGACATATGTCTGCACAAGTTGTTGGCGTGGGCGACCTGATTCAATGCATCCAATAACCTGATCGAAGTTTTAAGTTGTGAAACTGTTATTGCAGGCCTTGCTAAGCCAGCTCCTGTTATCGAAACTTTTGTTCTGATGAACTGGTTCACGGTATGTGAAACTGGATGGGGTTGTTACTTTAGTTGACTCAAAGCATTCTATGAAGCACTTGAATGAAGTTAAACCAAGATTTGTTGTGAACGAGGCAGTTGAGCAGGTTGCTTATGCTGATCGCATAATTTTGAACAAGGTGAACTTTGATTTCTATGTTTTCAATTGATATGGCCTTCTATGTGAATCTTGATTTTCTGCTGTAGTCGTATTGAAAGTACGGGATGAAATATTTAAGATACTAATAGCTCTACTATTTATGTTGTTTACTTGTTTAAATTGTTATGCAGATAGATTTGGTCACTGAGGATGACTTGGAGAAACTGACTAATAAAATCAAGGTACCGATTTCCTATTTCCGTTACTATGAATTTCGTTCTTGGTTTGTAAATTAAGGAAAGTATTAGCACCACGTTTTTCTTTTCTCTGATGTGTTTTATGTTTTTATTAGCACTATGCTAAAATTGGGTTTGTTAAAACTTCTGATTTTATGATTTCCAGCATATTAATAGCATGGCACAAATCAAGAGAGCAAAATTTGGAGTTGTTGACATGGACTTTGTTTTGGGGGTTGGAGGATATGATCTTGACAGGTCACTTATGTTTTACTAGTTGACCATTTGAAAACAACTTTTTTTTTTTGCAATTATTTCTTCTGGCATATTCAAATATATCTTCACCATCTTACTTGCTTCACTTGTGTATCTAATACCTTTTTTGAAAGTTCAAAATCCTTCATTTTGCAGAATTGACACTGAAGTTAATGTAGATGATTCTCACTGTGGCAACCATCAACATGACACACATGGTGGTATGTTGCCTTTTTTTCTATTTCTTTCCTTTGTTCCTGTGTTTTTTACCGTTTGTACTTAATAAAAGATTAAGAACAATGGGCTGGAATATTGATGATATTGTGGAATTTCATTCTTGTGGTTAACTTTGTCCTATGTGCGAAATTATCTGTTCTTCTGCCGTGAAGTTGTGTCTATGGTATCTTGAAATTTATTCTTTAATTTTGTTTTAATCGTTTTTATTTTATTTTATTTTGGACATTATAGGACACAACAAGGAGCATCATCATGATCATGTGCATGATTCTGCTGTATCTAGTGTTAGCATTGTATATGAGGGAACCCTTGATCTTGATGAGGTAAGAAGTACTTTCTAAAGCTGTAGCTTTTCAGTTTTCCCAGCATGAAGTGGTGAAATTACTTCTAATGTCACAATTTGTAAGTGAATTAGGATTTGGAGGGAGGATGCAATATGCCTGGTAAAATCGGATGTGTTGTTCTGTAATGTTGCAAACTTAGGGCCTGCTGATTGATGTGGTCTATGCTCGTAGATTTTATAGCTGAAAAATTGAAATATTGAGGAAATACAAACAGATATAACCATCATTCTTATACCGGAAAATAAAATTGCATCAATCGATGAAATAAGTTCATCTGAACGTGGATGAAGCAGGTTGATGATTGGCTTGAAAGATTGATCGAAGAGAAAGGGGAGGACCTATATAGAATGAAAGGAGTATTGTGTGTGAGTGGTTTGGATCAGCGTTATGTTCTTCAGGTGCCTATCATTCACCGACGCTTCTAATTACCGTTTGTTCTTTTCATGTCCTCTGAAACTGTGGCTACGATTGTAGGGGGTGCACTCGATGTTGGATGGCTGCCCTGGGAAGACATGGGAACCTGATGAGAAGAGAACAAACAAGCTTGTATTCATAGGGAGAAATTTGGATGAAACTGCCCTTAGAAAAGGTTTCAGAGGCTGTCTTGTTTGATATAAAGCAAAAAATGACCAAACACCGGTTTCCTAGTATTAGTTTTGTTTTGATCGAAATGTAATTAATCTCCACTTTCTTTTATCGTTAGGGCGTGTGGTTCCCAGAAAATATCATTAGAAGGGAATTTTTTTTCCCGAAATTGTTTTTTCATATTTTGTTAGCAGGAAAGACCATTATTAGATAACTTATTACAGACTAACATTTTTTAAGTTAAAAAGGGAATGCCATTCCCTCTTAATTCTTAGGTATTATAGAATTTTTGCTATTTTGGATAATAATACATTTTGAAATAATTGAGAAAAGATCTTTCTCAATTCTTATTATTTATATTTTATTTAAAATTATAAATATATTAATAAATTTTCTTAAAAATTATAATTATCATAAGTTTTATTTATAAAATTACACATTAGATATAAAAAAATAAAAAAATTTAGGATAATTTAATAAAAATCAATTCTAATTTTAAGTTATAAAAGTAAAAGATAATTATTCTTATACATTGAAAATTATATATTTGTTTACTCAACACCACAACATTAAATTTTGGGTAAATTATGTAAATAATCCCTTTTGTTTTTATCTAACCGATTTTGGTTACTAATTTAAAAATAAAGATACATGATCCCTAACGTTATTGATCCTTTCGATTTTAGTCTTTAACATTATCAATCCGTTCGATTTTAGTCCTACAATCATTAACTCTCATTTGATTTCAGTCCCTCAGATATGTCACATATTTGTTAAGGGTTAACATCAGAGGGACTTAAACCATACGAACCGATATTAATGATCATTACTCTTAATTTAAATTGGTGACCAAATTCGGACATACCCTATGTAACACCCCCAACTCGAATCGAGTTGTCACATTGACTTTTCAAAACTTTTACTTTTTCCAAAAGAATAAAATTACTAACTTTTATTAA